TGTCACTTCTGCTGCTTCATCACATTACCCAACACTTTCATTTACCAGAAAACCCCCTTTAACCCACTTAGGTCCTTTAAGTGTTAGTTCACCCTAAAATGAAAATTCTGTCATTATTTATTCACCCAAAACTCTGATGCTTCAAAGCATTCGTAAAGAGATTGGAAAAGAAATCCATATAAATCAAGTTAATCCAAGTCTTCTGAATAGACACAATCACTTTAAAAGACGAGCAGATTTCATTTAAGTTTTTATTCACATATAAACTTTGATCAGCAAATAATGTTTTCACCATTAACATTTGGTCACAGGAGCTCAAGCATGTTTGCTTAACATGCAAGAACCAATCAGATTCATTCTCCGTGTCACACAGCATGTTTGAGCTTCCGCAAGAACCAGAGGTCTGTTCTTACCAAAGTTAAGTCTGAAATCGCAGAGCACACAAACCAAGAAACATCACTAATCAATAAAACATACCGTAGTGACCCGAATATAAGACAATATTTTTTTCTTGGAAATACATCTGAAAAAACGCGGTCGTCTTATATTCAGGGTCTAGACTTTGACATGTCAATAATACACCCACAACAATAGGTGGCGCCAAATACGCATAAAACAAGTGTGCCGTGAAATACGTAATGTAATGTGTGTTGTAAAGATTGCGAGTGAAAAATATGCGATACGAAAATAATTGAAGACAAAATGTGTTTTACTGAGAAAAAAGAAGATTTGTTTTTTAAAAAGCCTTTTTTCAAAAGGTACATCTAGAAAAAGGGGGGGTCGTCTTATAATCAGGGTATTCTTATATTCAGGCCAATACTGTAATTTAATATTTCTATATTCAATATTTTATATTTAAAACATTAATATCATCATGAATTTATGGATTTAATTGCACTCATTCCACTTCTGAACCTCATTAAATGTCTGAAAGTACACCAAGCCACTTTTGTGTTCTTCTGTGCCACCTCTACAAACAAATTTTGTTAATACTGATTTAATTTGATTGGTAACTTATATTTCTTATTCTACTTGTTCTTATTCTGTCGTTTTAATAAAAAATTTTAAAAAGCTTATAAAATATAATTTTTTTAAAGAATTTGACAAAAGATGACATACTTTTAATAAAGTCAAATATCACCTCGTAATGGGAAGGCTACTTTTTGATACAATTTTGGATAATTGTTTAGAAGGTGCTCCTAAATTTTTTAAGTTAGGAGCACAAGAAAAGTAAGCGTAGAGCCCTGTACTATATTGACTGGGTTAAATAGAATTGCATTACTAAAAAGAGATTAAAATACAATTTTCATTGACTAAAACTAGACTAAATGTCATCAGTTTTCGTCGACGAAAATAGTCATGGATAATTCTGACTAAAATAAGACTAAAATGCTCAGACTTTTAGTTGACTGAAACTTGACTAGACTAAAAAGAGTATGAACGTGACTAAAACTAATAAAAACAGCTTAGAATAAAATAACAGCTTCACACAAAGACTAGACTAAAACTAAAATTAAAACAGGCCACCAAAAACAACACTGAATTCGTGTACACAATATATTAATTCACAACCTAGTGAACTATGAAGCTGATTGAGACGTACCCTCAGTATGACAGTGGACCTTGAGGGCCAGAGTTGAGAACCCCTGACATACTGATTAGTTAATAATCACTGACTACGTTTACATGGACATCAGTAATCTAATTATTTACCGTATTCTAAATAAGCCAATATTATGTTTATGGTATTTACATGAGTTGCTTTTAGAATATTCCTTTCATGTTCCCGTTTTACATGTTATAGTACATAGATCGATTAATGGCACATGTCATTATGTCCCACGTGACGCCATCCGACGTCCCCTCCGGAATTTCACGTATAAACATCATCTTCGTGATGATGCCATGTACAGTTTTGGGTGTTTCATTTTTAATTTTATGAAAGCTTCAAGTGCAGTTAATTATTTGTACGTGCATACAGACGACGGCGGTGTTGAAGCTCTTTTATTTGCCATCAAACGGTTGAGCACTGCCGTGTGTGTATCCTGTCGCAAAATGCGGCGAAAAGTCCTTCACGACGGTAATAATGTGATTAAGGTGTTTACATGTCTATGCTGCACTTCAGTAATGCAACTAAAATAGGAATACTCCACATGTCTTAATTCGATTAGTGTTTACTTCGATTATGACTTTAGCCGGATTAAGGTAATCAAAAATCTCTGTTTACATGGTAGATTCTTAATCAGAGTATTGTCTTAATCGAATAAAAATCAGAGTATTGTTGTCCATGTAAAAGTACTGACTCATGAAGAATGAGTACACTTTAATTTGTACAGAAATATGCAATATTTATCCCTTACCAGTTGCAATTCGAAGTGTGCTACACACAGGTGAGTGGTCCTGTACAAACCACCTGTAGTAACACACTCTCCTTTATGTGCACTAGACACTTTTCACACACACTGTTGTGTACATAATCCCACAAAAGACTCGATAACATATGTACAGTATGTTAACATGCTCATGCACTACAAATCATCTTGCACTGTTCCCCAGCCAGCTGCTTGACTTTCCCTTTGCACATGTAAAGTATTTATGTGAATCATTTGTACAGTTTGTATTCTCTAGTTTACATGTAGGTAATTATTTATATAGTAGCATATTTATAGTCAAACTCTCTCAGTAGTTGTGTTTAGGTTTATACTGTTTTACTTCATTGTTGCATGTCTGTATTTATGTAGCACCGTGTTCCTGTGAGGCACGACATTTCCTTCCACTGTATGCCCCCACATGTAGCAGAATGACAGTAAAGCTCAACTTGACTTGACTTGACTGGTGTTTCCATGACAGTTTCCTCTTGAAATGAAAGAAAAGATCCTAGTAAAGATGAAAGTAATTCAGAAAGCATCTTAACCCTTAAAAGAGC